CTCTTCTATAACACTTATGTTTTTTTTTTTTTTTTAAAAACCTCTCATAAGCTAACTTTTTCTCTTTTATCCACCCTTTCTTCATCATTCCACCAATCACTCCTCTTTCCTCCTGCCCCCACCCTCCTATAACCCACAAACTCTGACCCACATTCTAATACTGCAATTTTAAAACTTTTCCAACCCTTAAAACCCCCCCCACTACTCATCTTTGCACTAGCCACCTTTCTGCCAATAGTCGCTTATATCTCGCCCGAACTTCCTCCTCCCTTAGTTTATACATTTTCACCTCCCTCTTACTTGTTGTTGCCACCTTCCCTTTTCCCATCTACCTCTTACTCTAACTGTAGCTACAACTAAATAATGATCCGATATACATTTTGCCCCTCTATAAACATGTACATTCCGGGAGCCTACCCATCAACCTTTTATCTACCAATACATAATCAAAACAAACTACTTTCATTACATGCACATCATACCTTGTATATTTATTTATCCTCTTCTTCATAAAATATGTATTACTTATTACCAAATCTCTTTCTACACATAGCTCAATTAAAGGCTCCCCATTTACATTTACCCCTGGCACCCCAAATTTACCTACTACTCCCTCCATAACATTTTTACCCACTTTAAGCATTGAAATCCCCAACCACCATTACTCTCACACTTGATTCAAAACTCCCATGCATTCACTCAACATTTCCCAAAATCTCTCTCTCCTCTACACTTCTCTCTTCTGCAGGTGCATACATGCTTACTATAACCCACTTTTCACATCCAATCATTATTTTACTCCACATAATCCTTGAATTAATACATTTATAGTCCTCTTTTCCTGCCATAGCTTATCTTTCAACATTATTGCTACTCCTTCTTTTTGCTCTAACTCTATTTGAAACCCCTGACCTAATCCCATTTATTCCTCTCCATTGAAACTCTCCCACCCCCTTCAGCTTTGTTTCACTTAGAGCCAGGACATCCAGCTTCTTCTCATTCATAACATCCACAATCATCTCTTCTTATCATTTGCACAACAATCCACGCATATTCAGACTTTCCCACTTTGACAATTTTCTTTCTTATTCTTTTTAGTAATCTTTTCAGGAAAAGGGGGTTTCTAGCCCATTGTTCCCGGCATTTTAGTTGACTTTTACAACACGCATGGCTTACGGAGGAAAGATTCTTATTCCACTTCCCCATGGATATAAAAGGAGAAGTAATAAGACCAAGAACTATTAAGATAAATTCAAAGAAAACTCAGGTGAGTGTGTATAAATAAACGTGTACATGTATGTGTAGTGTGACCTAAGTGTAAGTAGAAATAGCAAGACATACCTGCAATCTTGCATATTTATGAGACAGACAAAAGACACCAGTAATCCTACCATCATGTAAAACAATTACAGGCTTTCGTTTTACACTCACTTGGCAGGACGGTAGTACCTCCCTGGGTGGTTGCTGTCTACCAACCTACTACCTATCATTATTATTATTATTATTATATAAATTATTTGTAATTTTTATTCACACAAAAAATATAAGATTTACTGTTATTCCTTATTGCAATAATTGTATAAATATATCAACCCATTCACGACTGCCTATTGGAATGGACAGTGACGTCATTTGTTTACACTGAAACAGCCAAGCAATGGACCATTTCTCCTGGGTTGAGCTCAATTTCAAGGCACTTTTTGTCATGAAAGCAATCAAAATCATATCCATTTCTGTAATATATCTTCCATTCTATCAAAGGAGACCAAAAAAACGAGAATACAACCATAAAAACCATACAAAAATACCACTAAGGGGTGGCTAATTGCTGAGAAGTGAACTCCATTATTTATGCTTAGATTTCTTTCATTTTTGGTGTACGTTAAGAAGCGTCTTTCCATCATACATTGCCCAAGTTTCAATAAGATAGTCCAATAAACATATGAGATACAATTCCTGAGATCAAGAGCAAGAGCCCCTCACCAGTGTCAAGGAACCTGCCTTGAGGTCTGCTCGCTTGTGGAAATTTTGCTCACGTATGGAAGCAAAAAATCAACCCATCGACTGCTCGTATTTGGAAAAACTCGCATGTGCACACGCTCGCAAGTAGAGGTTCCACTGTATAAAGATATATATGACATACCCCACCAAAATGCCAATATCCCATACCCTTTTAACCCTTTAAATGTGTCGGCCATAAATATACGTCTTACAAGCCAGTGTTTCGGACGTATACATACTCATTATGCACTGCGTGCACAATGAGAAAAAAGAACTACGACCATGTTTTTGGATTAAAATGCCGACTTTGAGTTGTATTTTCCTATAATATATATGGATGTATTCTCATTTTCTTGGTCTCGTTTGACAAAATGGAAAGCATATTACAGAAATAGAGATGATTGTGATAAGTTTCACGATGAAAATGACCTTGAAATTGAGCTCAAAGTAGAGGAAATGTTCGATTTTTACCAATGTTCAAGATTAAGCAAATCACATCATACATCCAATACACGTCAACTGGGGAGTCTAATATTCTTTCACTTGTGCACTGAAATCATTTATACCATTTTTACAATAATGCAGTAGTCTGCATAACAGTAAATCTTCTATTTTTTGTGTGAATGAAAAATCAAAATAGAAAGCAAGAGTAATATAAAAGGGGCTTGGAGATGTTACTAATGAATAGAGGATATGTTATTTTAGTGTCAAGAATGTCTGCATTGTTTATTCTGGACCCTATTTTGAAACTGGCATCTACTTTAATTTGCATGAAAATGGCCAAATTGCCAATTTCTGACCACTTTATTGGGTAGTTGAAATCGGTAAATGGACGGTTTCTTGTACTCAATTGATAGAAAAAATGAAGTTCTAAAGAAATAGCTATAAGTTTGGTCGACTGGAACAACGGAATTGGCTGAAAATAGGGCTCAAAGTCACCGAAATCGCCGATGTGTACATATCCCTAACTTCACGGAGTGTAAATCCTAAAGTTTTCGATCAAATTTCCCATCGGGGAAAGATTCTCTATCATTTCATAAATTTTTTTTTTTTTTTTCCAAAAATTTTTCAACACCAGGAGACACTTCAGGTTTTGGGGTTGCGACAGTTAAAGGGTAAAAGTGCAGGCACTGTACTTCCCATTTCCAGTACTCAAGTCCAGTTATATAAAAATAACCAGTTTCCCTGAATCCCTTCACTAAATATTACCCTGCTCACTTTCCAGCACCTCGTCTGGTCCCATAAACCATTCGTCTCCATTCACTCCTACCTAACACGATCACACATGCTAGCTGGAAGTCCAAGCCCCTCACCTACAAAACCTCCTTTACCCTTCCCTCCAACCTTTTCGAGGATGACCCCTACCCCGCCTTCCTTCCCCTACAGATTTATATGCTCTCCAAGTCATTCTACTTTGATTCATTCTCTCTAAATGACCAAACCACCTCTATAACCCCTCTTCAGCTCTCTAATTAATACTTTTAGTAACTCACACTTCCTCCTAATTTCCACACTCCAAATTCTCTGCATAATATTTACACCACACATTACCCTTAGACAGGACATCTCGACTGCCTCCAGCTGCCGCCTCACTGCAGGATTTATAACCCAAGCTTCATACCCATATAAGAGTGTTGGTACCACTATACTTTCATACATTCCTTCTTTGCCTCCAAGGATAATGTTTTTTTTGTCTCCACAGATACCTCAACGCACCACTCACCTTTTTTCTTTCATCAATTCTATGCTTAACCTCATCCTTCATAAACCCATCTGCTGACAAGTCAACTCCCAAATATCTGAAAACATTCACTTCTTCCATACTCCCTTTCTCCAATGTGATATCCAATTTTTCTTGATCTAAATCATTTGATACCCTCATCACCTTACTCTTATTTATGTTCACTTTCAACTTTCTACCTTTACACACCCTCTAATTTAGAGCGTCTGACTACATAATGGAAATGGCAGGCATCTTTAGAAACAAAGCCAGAACTAAGATTCAGAGGAATACCCTTCGCACTAATAGTATTCATTGCATATCAGATTGGGGGGAGGGAGTATGGAGGAAGTGAATATGTTCAGATATTTGAGAGTGGACTTGTCAGCAGATGGATCTATAAAAGACAAGGTGAGCCACAGAAATGATGAGGGGAAAAAGGTGAGTGGTGCACTGAAGAATTTGTGGAGAAAAAGAATGTTACCCATGGAAGCCATGAAGAGAATTCGTAGCTTGGAGATTACAAGGAGGTGCAGGGTTACTAAAAGTATTATCCAGAGGGCTGAAGAGGGGTTGTTGAGGGGGGTTCAGATATTTAGACAGGATGGAAAATAGGATGACTGGAGGGTGTATAAATCTGTGGTGGAGGGAAAGTAGATGGTTGGAGGTAGGGGGGTAAAGATGGTTTTGTGTATGACGGGTTTAGACATCCAGCAAGTGTGTGTGAGTGCGACAGTTGTGAATAGAGGCAAGTGGTTTTTATGACTATTAGTTGGTCTTGAGTTCTACAGGTGGGAAGTAGTGCCTACATTCTCAAGGAGGGGTGGAGATATTTGCAGTTTTGAACTGTAGCATCAGTGCCCCTCTGGCAAGACAGTGATGAAGTGAGTGATGGTAAAAATGTTTCTGCTTTTATGGGTCACCCTGCCTCGGTGGGAGACAGCCAGTTTGGAAAAAAATTCTCTTTCAGTGTTTACTCCATTTCTAGCTCTTTCTGTCCTCTTGAATACTGTGGCAAAACTAGCCACTCTCTTTTCAAGAGACTTAAAGAGCACAAAAGGCCAACAACACTCTTTTCTGTCATGTCAGAGATTCTAGCCATCCTATTAACTGGTCCTCTGCTAAGACTATCTACCTTTTTTCTAGCCATCAAAAATGCCATCATGTTGAAGCAGCTCTCATGCACAACTTTTGTAGCATGAATTTTAGATCGGGCTTTGTTTCAGTAAATGCTAAATTACAATATTTACAGAGTAATTAGAAAAGTGACTCTCCTAACCTTGCGGTAAACAGCAGAGATTACTCCAGTGCGAATTTGAAGCCCAGCTAAGAACATCTTCAAGAAGTATTGGCCAAGAATGAAGGACTGTAGCTGTGTACATACCAGCATCACTACAGCATAAAAATAGCCACGCCAATTTGGCTGTTCACTAGACCCACTTTCAGTAAAAGCGATTATCAGGCTGAAAATATTTAAACAAATGGTTAACATGAGCCTCTATACAAAAGGAACATTTCCCTATCATTACCATGATCTACCTCCTCAAATACCTTGGCAAAAAAAGTTAATAAATTCGTAAGGCAGGAATGCCCCATTGTAAAACGGTGCTGAGATTCATTAATCAATTTATGCCTTTCAAGATAGCTATGAATTGCCTTGGGAATTATAGATTCTATAAATTTTCCCCCTATGGAGGTAAGGCTTATTGGTCTATAAACCATACCACGGGCAGGATTTGAACCCGCGGTCATAGAGTCTCAAAACTCCAGACCATCGCGTTAGCCACTGGACCAGCTAGCCACAATAAGATTCGTCCAACTAGGTATATTTCTACACCATAGGAAGGTTAGCATAGGCACCACTGTGACCACAAAATGCAAGTTTTTACAACGAATCTCCAGCTAGTGTGGCCGTGACGAACTCTAGCTCAAGTCCCCTCACTGCCTTCAACATGACTCATGAAATCGTAATGACACGATTGCAAACAAACCATACCACGGGCGGGATTTGAGCTCACGGTCAGAGAGTTTCAAAACTCCAGACCGTCGCGTTAGCCACTGGACCAGCCAGTGGTGCCTATGCTAACCTTCCTATGGTGTAGAAATATACCTAGTTGGACGAATCTTATTGTGGCTAGCTGGTCCAGTGGCTAACGCGACAGTCTGGAGTTTTGAGACTCTCTGACCGCGGGTTCAAATCCCGCCTGTGGTATGATTTGTTTGCAATCGTGTCATTACGATTTTGTGAGTCTTATTGGTCTATAGTTCAAAACTAAGAACCTGTCTCCTGCTTTGTAAATAGGTATAAATACTATGGGTTTTGGATGAACCAGTATGCCAGCCCCCACCCTAGTTCAGCTGCTTGCACTCATGTGAAGTTTCTAAAATGACTGCATACTAGTACAGTAAATTATTTAGAAAATGGACAAAGGAAACTATTAAGTCCTAAAGGATGAACTGATGCACAAATGAACAAATATTAAATAAAACTGTCTGAAAAAGTAGTAAAATTTGAGATATTGTTACTGGGAATTATTCCTACAATAGTTAATTAAATCTTCCCCCAAAAATAGTTTCCTATTTTTCAAAACTTAGTACTTCTATTGTAATACAGACTGCATTGTATAAAGTATACAAGACATTAATATACCATGGTACTGTTAAGACTGTGTGAATTAACAATTTGCCATGTCTAAATTGAAAAGAAAAAATCTAACAAGATGATAAACCTACCTGAGGATCTGTGGGCTGACAAACTGTAACACATCATATGTGAACTTAAGTATAGCACCAAAGATAAAAGTTGGGCCAAATGTGCGAACCATGGTTGGCAAGACTGATATAGGCTTCTTCTTCTTGTGGTCCTCATGCTTCGGAACTTCCACATGAACTACATTGTTTGAGTAGGAAGCCCATGATTGAGAACCATGCTTTCTGTTTAGAAAATAAAGGTTACATTATATTCTATGCAACAGCCCAAAATCACTGAAAACCCTGTCTGCAAATCTACTTCATAATGCTTACCCTGTCTTAGCAATTATCAGCATCAGTGAAAATATTAGTTTCAAATAACCACATTTCACCCTAGGTAGTAGGTCAGTAGACAGCAACCGCCCAGGGAGGTACTACCGTCCTGTCAAGTGAGTGTAAAACGAAAGCCTGTAATTGTTTTACATGAGGGTAGGATTGCTGGTGTCCTTTTTTCCGTCTCATGAACATGCAAGATTTCAGGTACGTCTTGCTACTTCTATTTACACTTAGGTCACACTACACATACATGTACAAGCATATATATACATACCCCTCTGGGTTTTCTTCTATTTTCTTTCTAGTTCTTATTCTTGTTTATTTCCTCTTATCTCCATGGGAAAGTGGAACAGAATTCTTCCTCCGTAAGCTATGCGTGTTGTAAGAGGCGACTAAAATGCCGGGAGCAAGGGGCTAGTAACCTCTTCTCCTGTATATATTACTAAATGTAAAAGGAGAAACTTTCGTTTTTCCTTTTGGGCCACCCCGCCTCGGTGGGATACGGCCGGTGTGTTGAAAGAAAGAAAGAACCACATTTCACACCTAATTAATTTCCTTTTCCATTTAACTGTTCACTTATATCAACATAACTATTATTTATTAAACTCATAACCTTGACTCAATTTCAACTTCAAAAATTCTCTCTGATACTGTACCTCATATTTCTTTATGTACTACAGTGGAACCTCTACTTGCGAGTTTAATTCGTTCTATGACCTTGCTTGCAACTGGATTTGCTCATTTGCAGAGTCAATTTTCTCATTTAAATTAAATGAAATGCAATTAATCCGTTCCAGAGGAATTCTGTACTTCAATAATTTCGCTAATATCAACTCTACGGCTTATTTATCTATCTCGCTTCATCTAATATGACATAATAAATAATACAGAAACTTGATATATACTCTAAAATGAATAAAATATGTCATTCATGTAGTGGTATGGGCGGTGTCAGTGGTGGACGAGAGTTTGTCTGGAGACCGGGCAAAATACTTCATGAATAATTTAGCTAATATCATCTATACGGCTTATTTATCTATCACAGTTCATCTAATATGGCATAACAAACAATATAACATAGAAACATGATATATACTCTAGAATGAATAAAATATGTCGTTATGTAACAGGTGGAGGCGGCCACAACCGCTCCCTCTTTGTTGTGGTAAACACTGCCATCTAGTGACGGCCTTTTGAAGTCGTCTATTATAATTATTATATGTAGTACATTATAATTATATATGTATTATTGTAACTATACAGTGGACCCCCGCATAACGATTACCTCCGAATGCGACCAATTATGTAAGTGTATTTATGTAAGTGCGTTTGTACGTGTATGTTTAGGGGTCTGAAATGGACTAATCTACTTCACAATGTTTCTTATGGGAACAAATTCGGTCAGTACTGGCACCTGAATATACTTCTGGAGTGAAAAAATATCGTTAACCGGGGGTCCACTGTATTATTATTAATGTATTATATTATTATTATTAATGTATTATTATTATTATTGTATTATATTATTATACTATTATTATTATACGTATTATTATAATACATTATTATTATTACAGTGGACCCCCGGTTAACGATTTTAATCCGTGCAAGAGGGGTAATTGTTATGCAAAATAATCGCTATGTGAATGAATTTTCCCAATAAGAAATAATGGAAATCAAATTAATCCGTGCAAGACACCCAAAAGTATGAAAAAAAAAATTTTACCACATGAAATATACATTTTCCCACACACAAAGAGAAGGATACATGCACAATAGTAGGTAGTACATGCCACAGTATATATTGTGCACGTACTAGTCTACTAAATGAAGAATAAATGACACTTACCTTTATTGAAGATGCAGCAATGATGATGAGACACTGTGTCCTGGGAGTGCCTTTTCCTCCTGAGTACTGTAGGTCCTGTTTGGCATTTTCTTCCAGAACAGGCCTTATCACACTGTGTATGCCACTACGATTCTTAAATCTCTCAAACCAACCTTTGCTGGCTTTAAATTCACCATTTTGAGCACTAGTTCCAGCATTTTTCCGTTCACCTGGGTGTTAGTCGACTTGTGTGGGTTGCATCCTGGGAGACAAGATTAGGACCCCAATGGAAATAAGTTAGACAGTCTTCGATGACACTGACTTTTTTGGGTTATCCTGGGTGGCAAATCCTCTGGGGTTAATTGTTTCTTGGTATTCTCAATAAGCACACCAACACGGTGCTACAGCAGCAGGCAGCAGCTGACAGTGCAGCATGCAGCAGCAGCTGACAGTGCAGCAGCAGCAGCAGCTGTACCACCAATAGTAGCGATGGTTGATTGGGGTTTATTATACAACCTGGCCAGCTCGGAGACATGCACTCCACTTTCATACTTATCAATGATCTTTTTCTTCATCTCTATTGTAATTCTCACCCTTATGCTGTAGGTTGGCACTAGAAGCTTTCTTTGGGGCCCATGGTCACTTATTTTCCAGAAAAAGCACCGAAAACACTGTAATAATACGAAATATTCCGATTGTATGCTTGGATGTTACCGCGGAGGCTGGCTGGTAAACAATGCCACCGGCGGAACATGTGAGCGTGGCTCAGGCCGCACATTGGACGCGTCTCGGACGAAAATCGGTAAGCGGGTTTTTAAGCGGTATGTGAGGCAAAATTTTTGCAATTAAAGTAAGCGGTATGCGAAATAATCGCTATGTGATGCCATCGTTATGCGGGGGTCCACTGTATTATTATTATTATTATATAAATAATTTGTAATTTTTATTCACACAAAAAATATAAGATTTACTGTTATTCCTTATTGCAATAATTGTATAATGTCAACCCATTTACGACTGCATATTGGAATGGACAGTGACGTCATTTGTGTACTCTGAAACAGCCAAGCAATGAACCATTTCTCCTAGGTTGAGCTCTATTTCAAGGTACTTTTTGCCGTGAAAGCAATTAAAATCATATCTATTTCTGAAATATATATTCCATTCTATCAAATGAGACCAAAAAACGAGAATACAACCATAAAAATCATTCAAAAATTACTGCGAAGGGGTGGCTAATTGCTGAGAAGTGAACTCCATTATTTATGCTTAGATTTCTTTCATTTTTGGTGTACGTTAAGAAGCATCTTTCCATCATACAATGCCCAAGTTTCAAATGAGATACAATTCCCGAGATCAAGAGCAAGAGCCCCTCACCAGTGTCAAGGAACCTGCCTCGAGGTCTCCTCGCTTGTGGAAATTTTGCTCGCGTATGGAAGCAAAAAATCGACCCATCGACTGCTCGTATTTGGAAAAACTCGAACATGGACACGCTCGCAAGTAAAGGTTCCACTGTACTTTTTTTTTTTTTTTTTTTTTTAACAAACCGGCCGTATCCCACCGAAGGCAGGGTGGCCCAAAAAGAATAACAAAAGTTTCTCAATTTAAAATTTAGTAATTTATACAGGAGAAGGGGTTACTAGTCCCTTGCTCCCGGCATTTTAGTCATCTCTTACAACACGCATGGCTTACGGAGGAAGAATTCTGTTCCACTTCCCCATGGAGATAAGAGGAAATAAACAAGAACAAGAACTAAAAAGAAAATAGAAGAAAACCCAGAGGGGTGTGTATATATATGATTATACATGTATGTGTAGTGTGACCTAAGTTTAAGTAGAAGTAGCAAGACATACCTGAAATCTTGCATGTGTACGAGACAGAAAAAAGACACCAGCAATCCTACCATCATGTAAAACAATTACAGGTTTCTGTTTTACACTCACTTGGCAGGACGGTAGTACCTCCCTGGGCGGCTGTTGTCTACCAACCTACTACCTACAACTACTTATATACCTATGCATATTACCACTTAATGGGAGCAAGGGGCTAGTGACCCTTTCTCCTCTATAAATTACTAAATTTAAAAGAAGAAACTTTTCTTTTTTCTTTTTAGGCCACCCTGCCTTGGTGGAATATGGCCAGTTTGTTAAAAAAAAAATTAGCACTTATTTCATTTACAAAATATCTTACCTTTTATTTAAACTATGAAATAATTTATACATGACTATTCAATATTAAATAGCATAAAACTTACTTATAAACTTTTCCTAAAGTTTTCTTCCAGTTTTTGTCCCATTTCTCAACAGTCTTTCGTGATGCATTTTCTTGTGTGAGATCCCACATGTCTGCTTGTACTAAAGGCTTTCTGTAGCCTTTCCATATCATGGGATCCACCCATGCAAATGTGATACGACTAAAGAAGGATGCATTATTTTCTGGGCTTGGTTTCTGTTGAATGCACAAAACAAAATAAAAACCTGGAGTCACATCTCTGATCCTAGTGGATACATGACTGGCGTCAAGCTTTTTGAAGATTTTCAATAAAAGTAGTTAAAACATAAGGGAATTTTTCTTGCTCCAGATAAACTGTCTTAATTCTGAATTATGTACAAGTATGTTATGTGTGTCACAGCATTTAGCATCGAGTTGATGAAAGATTCATTCTAACATTTAGAATGAATTAGTTTTATTGCATTGGGGTAAATGCCACAATAACAAAAGGCTCAATAAAAAGAAAGTTTTCGAACAAATCATGTCCAGCTAATGATGATATAATTTAGGAAACATGTACTATCTAGACTGGAATACTACTATATACTATGACGCATTCAATTCTGGTAAAATTGCTAAACAAGGCAATGGGCAGAAAATGTTACCATTCATGTTCACACAATCAAACTCCTTAACTCTTTCAGAATAATTACTCAATCAAGACTCTAGGCATCACCCCCTCCTTTATTCACAAGTTCAAATTTGCTTATCATATAAAATATTCACACTTTTATGGAAAATTAATTACAGGAAAAGAAACCCTCAGGAGAACATCTCCAATAATCTAACTAAATACAGTGGACCCCCACTTTACGATCAGCTCCCAATGCGACCAATTATATAAGTGTATTTATGTAAGTGCGTTTTTTACGTGTATGTTTGGGGGTCTGAAATGGACTAATCTAATTCACGATATTCCTTATGGGAACAAATTCATTCAGTAATGGCTCCTGAACATACTTCTGGAATGAAATAATATCTTAAACTGGGGGTCCATTGTACTTATATATACTTACACGCTTATCAGAATAGGTTTAAAATGATTAACTTACTTCACCACGGGGAAAGCTGACATATTGTGGGGTAGCATCACCAAAGCAATTTAAGAACATCATCACAACAGTCAAAGGAAAGTATACCATGTACAATCCAAACTTGAGGGCATCTGGATTATCAGACTGAAATAAAACAAATGAAATTGATGTTAAGTATATAATTTCCCTTTTATCTCTAGTGCACGTGCATACATCACTTATCTCTGATGCACATGTGTACACCCTCCGCAAAGCCCATCCCCATTTTCCCAATTAACACTAAACACCTACCCTCAATCCTTCCCTTATCCTGACACTGACTCCCTTCCTTTTCCTTGTTGACAATATTGTCCCTGACCCCTTACCTGCAATAATGCACACACCAACCCCAGACCTATTTTCCTTAGTCCTATCAGATGAGTAACATGCAGAATAAATAGCCAACACAAACCAGTATATGGTAAAGGAAAAAAAGCTCAGTGTGTGGTTCTCAAATACAGATGGATTACTGAACAAGAGTAATAACTTGAAAGAAAGAATAGCAAAGGTAACCCAGACATTGTAGCTATCACAGAGACAAAGCTGGCTGAACTTATATCAGATGCTATATTCCCAGCAGGATGTCAAGTGATAAAAAGAGACAAGGAACAAGGATGGTGAAGGGGTGCTGTAAATCAGAAATCAGAGGCATTTTGAAGCTATGAGTGGGACAAACAGACATGCATCAAGAGACTACATATTGGGCTTAATTAAGACTGGAGGAATATAGTAGTAATGATATACAATCCACATATATATATATATATGTATAAAGATACACAACATATCCCTCCAAACTGCCAATATCCCAAACCCCTCCTTTAAAGTGCAGGCATTGTACTTCCCATTTCCAGGACTCAAGTCCAGCTATATAAAAATAACCGGTTTCCCTGAATCCCTTCACTAAATATTACCCTGCTCACACTTCAACAGCTCGTCAGGTCCCAAATACCATTTGTCTCCATTCAATCCTATCTAACACACTCATGCACGCTTGCTGGAAGTCCAAGCCCCTCACCCACAAAACCTCCTTTACCCCCTCCCTTCTTGTCAAACTCTTATTATGAAAAAACTGATTCAAAATCTAATTCCAGATTTAGGAGAATTCCCGAAAGAGAAATGATATGTATGTTAGTTAACAGCAGGTAATGTTCAGTGGATGAGACATGCCATAATATTTTGACATCAAATAAGTTCCTAGATAAGAGTAGTTAAAATATGATCTATCATTTTCCCTTACTTTCCCCTGAAATAAAATCCTTATAAACAAACAAATGAGTGCTATTACTTACTTTATCGTAAAGTATAATACTTGTGCGAAATTCTGGAATAGCGCACACCATCAGCAATAGCCAGAAGATGAAAAGATATCCCGAGCTCTGGATTCCACGCTTCTTTTCCATAAGCACAAATATTAGTTGAAGTAACTGTTGGGGTAAAAAAAAGTCTAAATTACTTTAATACTTATAAACATTTATCATTATGCATTATTTTTTTTTTTCAACAAGTCGGCCGTCTCCCACCGAAGCAGGGTGACCCAAAAAAGAAAGAAAATCCCCAAAAAGAAAATTCTTTCAGCATCATTCAACACTTTCACCACACTCGCACATTATCACTGTTTTTGCAGAGGTGCTCAGAATACAACAGTTTAGAAGCATACACATATAAAGATACACAACATATCCCTCCAAACTGCCAATATCCCAAACCCCTCCTTTAAAGTGCAGGCATTGTACTTCCCATTTCCAGGACTCAAGTCCGACTATATGAAAATAACCGGTTCTCCTGAATCCCTTCACTAAATATTACCCTGCTCACACTCCAAACAGATCGTCAGGTCCCAAGTACCATTTCATCTCCATTCACTCTATCTAACACGTTCACGCACACTTGCTGGAAGTCCAAGCCCCTCGCCCACAAACCTCCATTTACCCCCTCTCTCCAAACCCTTTCGAGGACGACCCTACCCGCACTTTTCCCTTTCCCCCATAGATTTAAAATGCTTTTTTATGTTTAATTACTTTATCCATTCTTCTAAATAAAAACCCCAACCCCCTTTTTTGCCCCAATAAATTTTTTTTTTTTCCCCCCCTTTTCTAATTTCCCCCCACTTTTAAAAAACCCCC